AAACTTTCCACATGTCCATCATCTTAGACCCCCCTGGCAAAAATAAAAATTGGCACTTATTCTCCTATCTCTTGCTTCACCCCACACCTTGATCCCTGCTGCCTGTCCCACCACCACTTTGCCCACTCCACTGCTTGCTCCCCTGATGGCTGCCCTCCCTTGTGCCTGGTACTCCTGGCATCTTCCTCCCCTTGGTGTCTGCCACCTACCATACCTGTGACCACCCCCCTCAGTACTGACTTGGCTCTACCTCCTTCTTCCTGCTCTGCCACCACCATTTACTCTCCATTGTGGCTCCAGTTCTGCTCCAGGCTGGGCCACAGAGCACATGATGACTCTGGTCCCTGCCTGGTAATGCAAGAGTGGTTGCAGCAGCTTAGAGGGAAAACCTCATCTTGGTTTGGAGTAAATATAGTGCTCAGAAAGAAATCTCTCAAAATGACAGATGGTGGAGATGTCCTTTATGTATGAAAATGGCACAAACTGAGTTTGAACTCTGTACAGGAACAGTTTTGCTCACACTCCTTGTTTTAGCATTAGCTACATTTGTTACTATGGTTTTCCTTAGCAAAGATACAAACAGAATAGCACAGCTGGCATCTGCCAAGAAAAATGTGTAGATTCGTAAGTTCCTTAGTAAAAGGCAGCTGTACGGTAACTTTGGCAGAGCACCAGAAAAGAAGCAAATTGCCAAGGCAGTAGATTAAGTGTCACATGCCCTCAAGGTTCAATTCCATTTTCTAAAGAAAATGGTTTGAATATACCATAGAGCACAATGTGGCTGATAGCAAACTGACTTCTCTCCAGTAGGGCTTAGGAACTCCTTGAAGGGCTGTCAAGCTTTTTTGAGGAGGCCACTTACTAAACTGAGAAGGAAATTGTAAAGATTTATGATCATCAACTGCTCACAACAGGTACACTGAAAAATAAGGGTAGGGGGAAGCATGCATTCAATTACTTTTTGTCAACCATTTATATCTTTCTGGGCATGTCTACACGTGCCACTATGGCACTATTGTTACTGCGCTATCATTTAGCATTTACTGCACTATCATTTATCCTTTTCAAAGTACTAAAAGACAGTTCTGTGACAGCTGGTATTGCACCATGTGCACTGTGCATGGTTGTTTTTAGGCATTACATCACCTTAGTGACATGCTATAACAGGGGAGCATATCACTATGGCATTATAGCTGCGGTGTCATGGGTTTTGCCCATGGATGCTATGTCACTGTGGTGCATTGCTACAGCAACATAGCATCACGTGTAGCAGTCTTTGAGAAGCTGATGAAGACAATTAACTGCCCGTGACTCTGCTTTGAAAACTATGCATTTTCTTTTGATACTCTCTTCAGTCCTTGGGCTCCTATATATTTGCTGAATAATTAAGGCAACTAAATTTTTTAGAGTACAGGTGTCAAACTTGTGGTGCCAAATGACTATCATGGGGCAGGGATCCTGGAGCAGCTGGAGTGGGTGCTACATGTGGCTCAGTCTGGTCAGAGTAGCAGCCGTGTTGAATGTGTCATCTGCCCTGGCAGCTCTGGACTGCACTGGACACAGTGCCTGCTGCAGCCAGTCCAGAACTACACTGCTTGTGGCACCTGCCAGTTCTGCATGCAGCATGGGTCCAAGAACAGATGGAGTGAACGGCATGTGCAGCATGTATCTCAGAGCAGGCATTGTGTGTGGCACCGTGCAGCTGGGGTGGCTATTGTTGGCTTAGAAATGGTATTTAGAGGTTTGTTTTTGGAAATTGGCTTATAGGTATATGTATATGCATTAGAATGGTTCAGGATGGGAAGCGGGGGTTAATTGATTTCTAAGAGTCTGGGTCATACAGTTTTACACAGCATTGGAAGCAGACAGGCTGTCTAACACAACAACGCCAACAAGGACACACAGTCTGGAAAACAGTCTGGGAAAGAGGGGGACATGTATTTCACTGTCCATAACATGAGATAAGGTAGCACCAGCTAACAAGGCCCCAGAGCAGGCCAGAGTCCCAGTTTTGTGGGAACAGACCAAATTAGGAGAAGGCCCGGAAAGACCAAATTAGTATGTGTGCACATAACGGGCTTGGAGTGTGTGAAAACAGAGGACATGGACTTTTGACCACATGGAGGGAAGAACCAGTGATAGCCATGGATGAAGAGTCATCAGGAAGGAAGGAGAATGCAAAAGAGAGACTGGAGAGTAACAAAGGGCCCCTCCCTATCCCACCTGGGTTCCTTCATGTCCCTTCTCCCCGGTCCCACCTGGGTCCTTCTTCTCCACATCCCTGTCCCCCGGGAAGGGTCCCCAAGGCCACTATGGAGAGAGGGTACACCACCAATCTGTCTCATCCACCCCACTGGAGGAGGAGTGTAGGCCTCTGCGTCCTACCTCCAGAGTGCTCACATGCTGCCATCTGATGCCTAAGAGATCCTGGCCAGATGTGCTTTGATTCTGATGACAGCCCTAGGATTTGGTAGATATATAGAACTGCTTGATTGTTTGTGTTGCTTCTTTTCAGTTATCACTGGGTATCAGTACATTTGCCTATTAGTGAGTAGAAAGGTCATGGTCAGTCTGAGGGTGGGTGGGTCTTTCCCCCTCCTGGTGGGTCCCTCCCCGGAACATGGCATCTGGGTCCAAAATCCAGAGCCAACAGCCATTACGTGCAGTGTGACTATCATTCTGGTCAGACTGCCTCATACGCAGTGCCCATTCTGATCGCAGTCTGGTCTGGTCTGGAGAAGCTGCAGAAGCATTTCCTCACTGCTCAACTCCTCCTGGTCCCTCGGAGGAGTCAAGTGTACAGGCATTCATTCTCCCAGGAGAACTTCTCCTGGGAGCAAATTCTGTTGTGTCAGAGATTGGTTATTTTTCTTCCAGGACTGCCATTTTTGTTCCAGGAGAAATTGCATAAATGCCTGCACACTTGTGGGTTTTCCAGGGAAAGGAGCAATTATCCCTGTAGAAACATAACACCCATACATCAGCAAATGCAGCCAGCAAATATCTGTGAAACCCAAAGAGACAATATGTCCCATTCCTGTTTAATGCTGATCTATGTAGAGGATGACAGCTTACTGCTATCATTAATTACCATATTAGCTTAATGTTTCAGAGATCTGTGTAATGGATTTTTAACTCTCATGTGATGACACATGTAGGGACCAATAAGATGTCACACGATGAAATTTCTGTTGTTCAATTTGCAAAGCCTAGGGCTGTGGTTCTCAACCTTTTTAAATTAAAGGCAGCCCTTGGAGAATCTCAGCTCTTAGCTTTTACTCATTACTTGACTACAGAAAAATAATAGAGCAGTTCTTCTACTGCAAAGCACTCAGGAAGACCACAACATGTCAAAATATTTTTGACAGTATGGATTCCTGTTTGAAATCTCTGGATTTATTTTGTGCATCACGTGCAGATGTTATACCTAACTGTACTAATATTCGGTAACACTTTTAATAATATGCCACTACACTCTGGTTGAGAACCAATAGCATAAGGAATTGTACATGCATGTACACACATATATACAAACTTCATTAAAAGAAAACTGAGGCTGCAAAGTCAAGCAGTCAAAGGTTAGGAAATGTCAGAATCAAGGCAATTGAACCTTAAGTCAAAACTGTCTATTTCGTGTAACGAATGTAGAAAAAATAGTGTGTGGATCATGCAATTAACAATAATGTCATAATCCATATGCAGAAGGGACCTGGACTACAGCTGTACAGGCCAACTTTATAACATTATTTAATAGAGTTTCATATTCTTTTAGATATACTTCACACACGAGACAATAAATTAGTTTACTTCTCTATGGATAAATCTACACTGTAGTTACATAGAGAATGACTGTGTCTTGGACGGCCAGGGCCGACTCGAGTTACACTTGTACGTCAGGGCGGGCTGGTGAATGGAGAGGCAGACACAACTTATATGGTTGATGTTTCCTCCGGAGGCCGATAATAAACCTGGTCGCTCCCCATTATGCATCCGAACTCCCCGAGGGATAGCTTTGTTCTCCATTCTTTTATTACGGCTTCTTCTCTTTTTACGGAGAAGTAACCATCAATATTTCTTTGATCCCCTTCTACCACCTGGTGGTAAGCGATACGCGCCCATAGATCATTTGCATTCTCTATGTGGCGTGTCCTGGTGCGCCAGGGGCAGCACCCGATCAGATTCATCTCCATCACCGTGCCCTTAAATCCCATCCTCGTCGCCATGTCTCAGACGGCCGGGGCCGACTCGAGTTACGCTCGTACGTCAGGGCGGGCTGGTGAATGGAGAGGCAGACACAACTTAT